GTAATGTATACTATTGTGCTATAAGAAATGATGAGCAGGAGGACTTCAGATAAACCTGGAAAGATTTGTATGGTTTGATGCTGAGCGAAGTGAGCAGAACCAGAGAATGTTGTACACAGTAACAGCCACACTAAGCGATGACGGATTTGATAGACTTAATCCCTCTTAGCAATACAAGGATCTAAGACATCTCCAAAAGCCTCATGACGGAAAATGCTATCCATATCCAAAAAAAAAAGAACTATGGAGTTTGAATGCAGATCAAAGCATAGTATTTGCTATTTTTTTTTCTTCTGTTGTGTTTTGTTTCCTCTTTCTGGTGGTTCCTCCCATTGGTCCTAATTCTTACTTACAACACCACTAATGTGAAAATATGTTTAATATTCATATATGTATAGCCTATATTAGATTGTGCACTGTCTTGGGGAGGGAAGTAGAGAGGGAGGGAGAGAAAAATTTAAAACTCAAAAGCTTATGGAAGTGATTGTTGATAAATTAAAATAAATTAATTTTAAAATTTTTTTAAATTTAAAAAAAGAAGTCTTTTGTGCCCCTGTTCTAAATTGTGAAGGTATTACTGCCATCCATCATATGACACTCCCATCCTTAACCTCTGTGCCTAGCATGGGCAGTCCCCTCATTCCTGGAATGTGTTCTCACTTCACCACCTCCCCCTTACACTCCAGAGCCTCCAAAGTCCGGCCAAAACACCTCCTCCTACATGAGGTGTTTCCTGATGTCCCCATCCCCCACCTAACTGCTCCTGCCTTTCCCTCCCACACTCTGAAATTATCTTGTATTTCCTTTGCTTATGCATGTGTGTTCACGTTGTTTCTCCTAAATAAAGAAATAATGGTAACGATAATAGCTAGCATTCACATAATGCTTTAAGGTTTGCAAAACATTTTGCACATGCTATCTCATTTGATCCTCAAGTCTTTAGCCTCAGTTTCCTCACCATAAAATAGGGATGATAATAGAACCTCCCTATGAGGGCAAGTCACTTAACCCTGCTTACCTCAGTTTCCTGATCTGTAGAGTAAGCTGGAGAAGGAAATGGCAAACCACTCCAGTATCTTTGACAAGACCCAAATGGGGTCATGAAGAGTCAGACACAACTGAAATGACATATATGTGTGTACATATATGTGATTTTCATAATGCTTTTAATGGACTTAATTTTTTTTTTAAAGCCAGGGTTTTACAGCGATTCCTATAGAAGGAAAGTTTCTCTTTCCTAATCTAGAACATTTGCTTCTTGCTGTGAGTAGAACTACTGTTGTTATACAGCACTGTCTGCTTTTCTGTTTTAAAATCCCTCTTTTGTAACACAAAGCTGAGGAGGAGCATGGTTTGATTTACATGATTTCCCCTCATAAGGAGGAATGTATCTGTTTCATATATAGAATTATGTCCCTATTCATGCTCCTGGCATCCGTACAAATCTCAATGAATGACAGTCAATTAGTCCAAATTCAATTGGATCTCGTCTGTGTGACAGGCAAAATATGAAGAACACATAGAACCAAAGCTTAAGAGCAGGAAGGACCCTAGGAGAACATCTAGTCTCAGCCTCTCACTTTAAAGAAGAAAAAACTGAGGCCCAGGTGAAGTGACTTGCTAAGGGTTATAAAGCTAGTTAGTAGCAAAACTGGGACTAAACCTAACGTTTTATGTTTTAAAGGGTCAAGTGTTAGAAATCATCTAGTTTTGGGTGTTTTTTTTTCTTTTTGGAGACTGGGCTTCCACATCTTGTCCAGGTCAGAAATACGGCTGCCACTCATGGGCCAGCATCACTATTAATAAGCCCAGTAGCTTTGATCTGCTCTTTTTCAACCTGGGCTAGTTTGCTCCTTTCCTTAGGCAGCCTGGTAGCTCCCTGCTCTTGAGGGCTCATCTATATCATACTGGATTTAGTGTGGACACCCAATCAGCTTTAACCCCACTCACTGCCACTCAGACCTTCCCAACTCAAGTGATCTCCCCCAGGAGCATGGACTACAGGCATTCACCACCATGGCTAGCATCACATAGTACTTCACCCACGTGGAACCAAAGCCTATAGTAGTTAAGTGACTAGCGCTATCGTCTCCTGTAAACTTTTCCTGATCTCTCCAAGCTGTTAGTGTGCTCACTCTCTCTCTCTCTCCTTCTTATGTTATGATGCTATCAAATCATTATGTTATACTTTATCTGTTTATATGTTATATGTTAAGTAGCCAGAGGACTCAGTGGATAGAATACTGGGCCTGGAGTCAAGAAGATCTGTGTCTAAATTCAGCCACAGACACTTACTAGGTGTATGACCCTGGGCAAATCACTTAACCCTGTTTGCCTCAGTTTCCTCATCTGTAAAATAAGCTGAAGAAGGAAATGGCAAACCACTCCAGTATGTTTGCCAAGAAAACCCCAAAGGGCATCACAAAGAGTCTAATAGGACTGAAAAATGGGATTTGAATCCATATCTTCTAACTCTAAATCCAGCACATTTTCCATGGTA